TGTGTGTGTGTGTGTGTGTGTGTGTGTGTGTGTGTGTGTGTGTGTGTGTGTGTGTGTGTGCTTCAGCTTTTTCCATTATGTTCCGTGTGGTTTGTCGTTGCACTTCTGTCATCGTGCGAATTCAGCTTTAGTTTCAAACCTTTGAAGTGAAAGGTGAGCTCACGTTTGCTGTTCCTATATTTAACATCTGTAAAGGCTGAAAACTTCCGGATGGTCCAGTCAAGTCAGGCATTTCAAAACGTGAAAAAAAAGAGTGATCGCTCTATGCCACAGAACAAGCTGAGAGATTACCGCATCGGTTTTCCCCTGACACCCTCTTCCTTTCATCCTACTGACCGTGCACATACACCGTGTGCTACATTTCAATTCTTGAGTAGCTTTGGTTGAGATTTCCAAAGCATCTGCGTGACAGTGAAGGCGTGTCTGATGCAACCTCTGTGCCAAAAATGATAACTGGGCAGCTGAGTGAACCTTTTCAAGATTTATTATTAAAGAAAAAAAAAAGATTATAGCATGGATGATAAAACCAGCTATGAGGTTTTACATCATATCGTCGGTATTTATCATCTATGGACTGACAGCAGCAGCGGGCTGCCAGCTTCATCTGTCTCAATTTATGTCACATGCTGAGTTAAATTCATTGTTCCAGCAACTTCTCTGGATTGATGCTAGAAATAGTGGACGGTTAAAAGCAATAGCTTTTTAATTCTGGAGGCCCGTTCTAGGGGTTTGCTCAGATTCGTACAGGGCTTCTGATTCGTATGTGGTGAATCAGAAGCCCTGTATACACTGTATGCTTTGGGCTACACTGTAGGAAATAAAACATTGGGAATCAGTGGCTGTGGAGATCTCAGCTTGATTTGCCTATTCAGGACGATTATACTGGGGACAGTTAAAAGATCTGAACCTTATAGCCCGAGACGTCTGATTGGGTTATACACACAGAGATGTATTGAGAGGCCAAGCCATTGAGAGCTTTATGAACTAGTAGGAGAATTTTAAAGGTAATTTTGTATTGAACTTGTAGACAGTGTCTGTGTACTTGTAAGGATCTTCACCGTCTTTTGTATTATCAAGTCCTCTTTCTGATGGTTTGGATAACCCTTCAAATAGAGCATTACAGTAGTCTAACCTTAATATGAATTTTCTAACTTTTAGGTTTTTTTATGGTAGAAAGGAGTCCTGGTGACCTTATTGGTATGATTATCAGTTATCAATTGAGACCACAGTCCACAAGAGTTCTGAGATTCCTGCCTTGCTCTAGACTTTGTGGACCAACAACAAGTATTTCTGGCTCATCTCTGTTTGGCTCTAAAAAAGTTTTAAGACATACAGCAGTTAATGTCATCGTTTACAAAATACAGAATTGAACTCAAGATTTTAACTGATAAATGACTTCTTCAGGATTTTATCTGGACATTTTGGCAGTAGTTTGGTAAGAATGTGAGGCAATGCTAGATAAATTAATCAAAGATATTACTTTTAATGAAAGAAATTCAGAGGGAATGGTTTTGGAAGCATTGGGTAGTTTATCAATGGCTGGGAATAAAAGAAGTGGAATTACCCTGAGTATTGTTAGTCAGTTGGGAGACATAGGATTGCCTGCCTAATTTTATTCCATTGTTGCAGTAACAAAGTGTATTTTTATTGATTTCAAAGACTTGTTTTGCCATATTTACATTCTCACTGTAGACTGCATACATTAACAGTTCTGACAGGTGCGATATGATCGATAGACTGAGAAATGTCATCACATGACAACAGTACCAGTAATGTGTATTTTGAAAATTCACTACTAAATGCACTTGCACTGATGTAACGGCTGTTGATAAATCAGTTGGTGTTAGTTTTGTCAGACGACCAACACACTTCTGGAAATATGTAATAACGACCCGAGACAGTAACAGCCAGAACATTTGTCACTGTGACGTCAAGACCTCTGGAACCAATTAGATCAAACATGTGACTTTTAGTATGAGTGGGTGGAGTCGCATGTTGTTAAACATTAACATTAAAGTAAACTGATGAAATATTTTGAATCAGAGTTGCTGCTGGTGTCAGTGTGAATATGAAATGAATTAAAATAAAGAATAATGCATAAAAAAATTAGAATTTCAGAAAAAAAAGTTCATTAATTCTTTCCATAAAATCACATCTCAGTTTAGCCGGTTGGCATTTATTAAGGAGTAATTCAGCTGGAGATACGGAATTATTTACTAAAAATAAATATTCAAAACTTAGATAACTGACAGAGATTTACAACTCAAACTGTTTTTATATATAACAGCGACCAGATCGCCTCTCTGTGTGGTGTAAAGGTTCAAAGCTGTAATTACTGGGTGATGTTTTAGCCAGCTCTGTGTTAGCAGTATAATCAAGCCAGGTTTCAGTTAGAATCACAAAATCCAGTTTATTACCATCCATCCTTCCTCTTCCACTTATCCTTTTAGAGCCAATCCCAGTTGTCTTAGGGCAAAATGCAGGGCACACCCTGGACGAGTCGCCAGTCTGTCTAACACATAGACACAGACAACCAATTTAGAGTTTCCAATTAATCTATTCCCACTAACTGCATGTCTTTAGACTCTGGGAGGAAGCCAGAGTACCCGGAGAACCCACGCAAACACGGGAAGAACATGCAAACTCAACACAGAAAGACGCCAGCCTGGTGCTGGAATTGAACTCAGGACCTTGCTTTAAGGCAACAGTGCTGCCCGGTTTATCACTAATAATGATATAACTAATAATCAAAGTCTTATTTGGAAAGTCCTTTTTGCCACATTCTACAAGCAGCCAATCAAACTCCCTCCCAAATGAGCCTCCACACTTCATGATCTGTAGATATCGTCTGGATGGACTTAAAAAGAAGAAGAGACAGAGAGTAAAACATAGAAGAGGAAATGCAAAGTAAAAATACAAACGGCTCTAACTACAATGAGATAAAACAACAGGGAAGTTGTAGCTGTTTCTTTAGCGTGACCTGTCCAGGAAATCCCCGGTCAGCTGCATCACTTGACTGTGCCACCAGAAGGAGGAGTGCGGGATGTGAAGGCTAGATGTGAGGTGATGGAAGAATAGAAGAGGAAGAGAAAGAGAGGAAGTGGAACTGCCTGCTGCTCTAGGGCCGAAGCAACACCCTTGTTCTTAAGTCTTTTCCTTCCTGTGTGATGATGTCTTGTGCGTTTGAAATGCTGGAGGTGAATTAAAAAATTTAAGGATCGACATATTCTACAGCCAGACATTTTTTTTTTTGTATTTTAATGTGTGGTACACCTCGCTGTGTTTCTGTGTACAGCTCTCCGGCCTCACTCAAACGTTGTGGGTGATCCTATTTTTTTTTTTGCATTTTTTTTCTGTTGGTTGAGTTTGTGTGTCCGTAGGTGGTTCTCTTCTTTGTCTCAGGCACTGTGCTGTTCACTGCTCTTTTCTTTTGTTTAGGCCCCTCAGCTGACACAATGACATCACTTCCTGTGTCCTTTTCCAGGAAAGCGTCGGATGTTTTAAACACCAAGTTACAACTTACATAAACAGCTGCCCGTACACAATGGTGTGTTTTCTGTTAACAGTGATGAATCCTTCATGCAATGTGACTGATAGGCCATTTTTAACAGCCCTGCAGTACACTGTGTATGTGTTACCCACAACACAGGCAGCACATAGTATGTAAACCCAGTGCTTTTCATCAACATTTTTATCCTGCCGGGGGCACTAATGCAGAGGGGCTTGAAATGGGTGAACAGGTTTGCGTGTTTGAGTGAGCTGGCGGAAGTCAGTGGGCAATGGCGGAAAAAGCAGGTGGGCACAAAATCGCTCAACTTCCCCTCAAACAAATAAACAATGCCTCTCAGGATCTGTGCATTCTCAGGCCACATTTGTCTACAGCTTGTTCCTACCCTCAATTTTCTTTTGCACCTATATGCTTGTAACCCCACCCACCTCCAATAGCTGTCATTATATTGTACTGCATTGTCCCCACGATGCTTTTTAATCTCTGTTCCTCTCTTAGCCCCCACCCCCACTCCCATTCTCTCACTTGCTTTTTTGCTCTACCTCGCTTCCTCTCTCACGCACTTACTGAACAACATGTGGCAGGAAGGGCATCTGAGCTCACAAAAAAAAAAAAAAAAGTTTTGTGAAGCCAATTAGAGAACTGCCTCCTTTATTTGCTGCCCGGGGTCAACATTACTCTATACTTTCTGAAAAAACAGGCACTTTTCTGGCATTTAATTGTTTAATTATCACTTAAATGCGTTGGGGAGGTGTTCATCATCAGAACAAAGTCGCAAAACCTGTGAAAATACAGTGAAAAGTTCAAAGTGTACACCCTCCTTCACATTTTCCGAAGCAGCCCAACAGGCCGGATTTGACTATGCCTGGTTGTTCTGGCCCTCTGGCCTTATGTTTGACCCCTCTGACTTAAAGGGCACGTGTAACTAAAGTGGTTAGGTATGTAAGAGTGAAAACATGATTCACCTCTGTCTGCAGGAGTGGTTTCACAAGGATATGTCTGTAGAAATGTGTGAACAGGTGGGTGAAAAAGTGAATTTTTCAGCCACAATGGTCAAGAAAATGTCAAACTGGTAAGAGGTCATGTATGGATTTGCATCTCTGCAGCTGAGGAAGGCTGACTATATGGATTAAAAAGTTGCCTTTATAATGAAGGGTTGTTGTTTTTTTGTTTATTTTTTTACTAAAAAGAAAAAAAGTCTGCTCTCACAGTAGAGGAGTTGATCAGGTGG